AGTATTTATTATATATATATATATATATATATATATATATATATGTCCAATTTACTTAACCGTGGCCTTGGTTGGGTTGGGACTCACCTAGACTATTTTAGGTCAGTTCCATGTCATGGTCAGCTTGACCCAAACTCGACCTATTTACAAATCTCTCTCTCTCTCTCACTCATGTTATTTCTCAATTTCGGTCTCTCACGCACACACTAAAATGAACCTAAACAAATCCCAAGATACAGAGGACTTTTCAAGCTTTCAAATACCTCAAATGCCACCTTACTTGGTGATCACACTAGAAAGTCATGTCCAAAATGCAAATTAAATATAAAATACGATTCAAGTCCTTGTTGAGCTTAACAATCGACCCCCAAACGTTTCGCGCAAGTTTGCCTCTAGCCTTCATACTCTATTCTTCGAAGCAATAGCTAACTTGGATAGAGATGCCGTGCGATGCAATCGTTGTATTATACTATGATGAAATGGTGGATGGCCAAATTTTAGCTCTTGGATTATTTTGAAGTTAACGGGTGAGATTAAAATTTACTTTATCATAAAATTTGAAAACCCCAAATCTCAGTGATTGTGTGCCTCAATCTCCCGCTTTTCTCTCCGCACTGCTCTCTCTCTCTAGTCATCTCCACCTCTCTTTCTACCAGCACGCTCTCCACTCCCCTCACTCTCTTCCTCTGGTCTTCTCCTCATGTCCCTCTCTCCTCTATCTTTGTCTCCCCATCATTTCCTCTAATCGTCTCTTTCACTCTCCAAGCTTTCTCTCTCTTCTTTCCTCCCTCAATTTATTCCTCTATCTCTCTCTTTGCTCTAAAAAAAAATGTACTTCAGATCACCAGTAAACTCATAAACTCCAAATATGGCTCAAGAACCCCAAACAAACTCTGATGGTGGGAATTTGGTGCAATTTTGGTGTAGAAGGTGTATTTGGCTCCAAATAGCCAAATCAAGGCTTTTTGTGTAGAAGGTACAATTTTTCTGCAGTTTTTTTTTATATTTTTTCTATTCTTGAATCAATAAATAATGCAGATGTAGAGATGGCTTGTGAGCAATGCTCTAATGTTTTATTCAAGGTTTGGGATTTGATATTTTGGGGTTTACA